TGAAAACGCGAACGCATTGTCCCCCCTTCTCCTCCGCCGCCTGCTGGGCTCCGCCGATGCGCGCATCACTGCATCCTGCGCACTGGAAGGCCACCTGCACCCAGGTGGTCTCCCTCTAAAGTTTGCCACTTCTCCCCTGCACGGTGCCTGCCTCCAGCCCCCGCCCCGCCCCCCGGGGGGGCCCCACGGCCGCCGGCAGCCGAAAGGGGCTTTCTGAGACATTGCTTAAAAAAGCCCAATGCCCCCCCCCCCCCCCCCAATGTAAGCCTTCAGAGGCTTCCATTTGCATTTATGTCTCCCAGGCCTTGTTTCTTGCTCCGGTCTCCAATCTTGCTGTCCCCTGCCCCCATGGATCACTCCGGGGTCAGCCTCATTGGCCTTGTTCATGTTTCCAGAACACCCCACGCTGTCCCTGCCCCCCTGCCTCCACTGCTCGTCCCCTGTGCTCCATAGGCTGGTTCCTGCTCGTGGTGGGGTTACGCAGGACCTTCCCTCACCTCCCCAGAGCCACCCCAGCCGGCCGCTGTCTCAGGGGCTGCGAGTGCCCTTTCTAGTCATTAAAAATGTACTTCTCCAAACTTGTGATTTTTAAACAGTCGATTTGATTGCTCACCTGTGTTTTGCCTCAGTGTCCGTGGGAGGGTAAGCACCTTGAGGACAGGCGTATCTGTCCATGGTGCGCGGAGCACCTAGCACAGCACTTGGTACATAGAAGACACTCGATATAGATTTCTGGACAAACCGAGGGAGAGTAAATGATGGAGATACAACGGCTGGAGAATGCCATAGCTTTTGGAAAGCACACCTCCTCCCCACCCCCAAGTTTCTATGACTCGTGGTCCCCAAACAGCACATTTCCAGGAAGCAGTCGGGGTGGGAGGATGACAAGTGGAGAACTTGAACTGGCAGGAGCTGTTGGTGGCCGGAGGTCTGCGGAGAAGGGGGGAGATGTGTCTTTTCTAACCAGCTCCTCCGGTGATACTGATGCCGTTAGCCCAGGGGCCACACTTAAAACAGCACATTCTCGAATGTGGACCTACCCTGAGTCACCTGAAGTGGCTTTAACAATACCTAGGGGTTCTGATGCATTGGTCTGGCAGGTGGCCTGGAAAGAATGGCATTTATTTCAAAGGATGCCAGTGAAGGCTTACCTGCTCATTGAAGTCTCTTGGCGATCTTTGAGACATTCCAGATTAACTCACTGGGATGGGACGCAGGCACCAGAACTTTCTGAAGCTGCCCGGGGTATTCCAACATGCAGACACATTTGGGAACCACCGGGTTCAGGTGATGAGTCTCCACCAACCCTTCACCAGGGCACAAAGGCAGGGAGAAACCAAGCTGGGTCAGCTCTGGGGGGAGGGGATCCCCCAAAGGCTGGGAGGTTTCTGGACTCTCAGAATTTGCGGGGGGCTCAAATGCAACCAGGATTTCAAGTCCAAGAACGCTCCAGCCCTTGGTTTGAGAAGAGAACTACTCCTTTAAGCCTCAGTTTCCTCCTCTGTACAATGGGAATAATAACTCCCGCGCATTGGAAATGTCAAAGAAACATAGGAGAGGACGGGGGAGGATGGTGTAATATGCTGTATGAAGAGGAAACGCCACAAAGGTAATTTTGAGTATGGTTTGCTATTTTACAAGCCATGGCTTTTGATAGAAAAACATAACGGAGGAGAATAATTTGTTAATTTAGGCTCAGAATTATCCACCAGTATAGAGACGTGCTAGCTCAAGCGCCACCTTGTGGTATAAACTTGAATTGCAGGAGTGGGAGCTGGAGGCTTCTTTTGGTAGATGGACCAGTTTAAATAGCCTCAACTCCAGGGGCGCCTGGGTGGCGCAGTCGATTAAGCGTTCGACTTCAGCCAGGTCACGATCTCGCGGTCCGGGAGTTCGAGCCCCACGTCAGGCTCTGGGCTGATGGCTCAGAGCCTACTTCCGATTCTGTGTCTCCCTCTCTCTCTGCCCCTCCCCCATTCGTGCTCTGTCTCTCTCTGTCCCAAAAATAAACGTTGAGGAAAGAGAAATTTTAGTCTCAACTCCAGAAGTTTTTCAACCTCTGCACTATTGACATTTTAGGCCTATCATTCTTTTGAGGGGGAAGGGGCAATCTTTTGCAAACTAGGATGTTGAGCGACATCCATGGCCTCTGCTCGCTAGGTAGCACCCCTCCCTGCAGGCATGACAACCACAAATGTCTCCAGACTTTGCCAAATGTCCCTCGAGGGGCTGAAGGGCCCCCGGTTGGAAACCACTGAGCTACGGCAAACGGCAAACGACAAGGTAACAATAATAATATCCGCTAACGGTATTTCCAGCAGGTTGCCTAAATATGGGCGAAGGCAGCAGCCTTGTGGGGAGGGGACACTGACCTCTCCACCCCAGCCACGGGGAAGGCACCTGAGTCCTGCAGCTGGCAGGACGGCGCCCCTGGTGGCTGGCGGGCTGTGCACGTGCGCGTGCGCGTGAGGGTCTGCCCTCGTCTAGCCAGGGTCCCTGTGCCTGAAGGAGCCCGACATTAAATAGCAAATCACAGCACCACGACAGATGGAGGCACGGAAAGAGACCACGGGAGACCACGGAAGAAAGGAAAAAAAAATTTTTTTTAATGTTTATTTGTTTTTCAGACAGAGAGAAATAGAGCATGAACAGGGGAAGGGTCAGAGAGAGGGAGACACAGAATCTGAAACAGGCTCCAGGCGGTCAGCACAGAGCCTGACGCGGGACTCGAACTCGTGACCATAAGATCATGACCTGAGCCGAAGCCGGACGCCTAACCGACTGAGCCACCCAGGCATCCCGGGAGGAGAAAGTTTTATATTGTAGTGCTTCAGTGGCACATTTTTCTTGCTTTTTGAACCAGGGCCACACATTTTCATTTTGCGCCGGGCTCCGCGGAGTCCGTAGCTGGCCCTGGTGACAGAGACGGGTGAAGGGTCGCAAGCGTGCGGGGACGTTGACATGACGGCGGAGGAGTGGTAGAGCTCGGGAGCAGCTTTGCGGGCTAAGGAGGAGGTTGGCCCCAACCAATGACCCTGGACAGGCCGACTCTGTAGGGCCTGGGGCAAGAGGACACATGGAACCGTGAAAGTATTATTTGCATGTGGAGGCCCCAGCTCCAAATCTGACCTCCGTCTCCACCCCGACTGCTGCTCAGGGGCCACCCCCAGGCGAGTGGCCTGTTCGTCTTGGGCCAATGGACCTGGGACACCCTGGAAGTGAGCTTGAAACCACTTGGGCGGAGGGACAGAAACCGGGAGCGTGGGAGGCCCGGGGGTCCTAGCGGCGCGTGCACTACCCTCCGTGGTCTGGAGAAGAGGGGGAGGGGGTCCGCTGCAGGGGGTGGGGAGGCAGCAGGTTCCGCCGCAGCGCCCCCTTCCGTTCCCGACGGGACTGTCCTCTCTCCTTCCCAGCAAAATCTTTTCTTCCTTAGCAGCTCCTTTTTTAACGAGGCCAGACATACTTTTATACCTACTGCAAGGTGGGGCAGGCGTGCCGAGCGGAGGGCAGGGCAGAGCAAAGGCCCGGGGGCAGGAGAACATGTGGGCAAAAAAGGAGAGGCGGTACAGCGAAGGGCGGGGGGCGGGGGCCGCCTGGAGAAGGCTCTCCGTGTGGGTGAGAAGGGACACGTGCTGTGTGGGTGTCGGGGCAGTGCTGCAGCAGATGGGGTGGTGGCTGAGCGTGGGGGCTGCGTGGGGGCACGGGGGAGGGGTGCTGGAACTTGGGGAGCGGCCTTGAGAAGGGGGACAGGTGGATAACGAAGGCGCGTGGGGAGGAGATGGGAGGATTGGACTGGAGGGTGGGGGAGGGAGCGTCCGGGAGCAGCCCCGGGTTTGGGGTTAAGAGAGAGCAAAGGGCAGGTGTAGGAATCGCTCTGCCCAGGACCCCGAGGCATTTTCACACCAGTTAGCAGAGAGCAGTTTGATGAACGGGCCATTTGCATGCAGGCTGAGGGAGCCATGGGGTAGTTCGGTGCCCGTCCCCAGACTGGGAGGGAGCCTTCATCACCTGCCGGGGAGCCAGGGGAAGTGGTTATGGTGGGGGGGGGAGCTCCGTGGAGAGGGCTCCTTGGCCGAGCCGAGGCCTTGGGTGGACCCTCGGTTACCCGCAGGGATCCTGCAGGGCAGGGGCCTGGGAATAAATACCCCAACCTCTTTCCTCTTTCATCTCCCAGTCCGAATCCAGCCAGAAGCCAGAGGGCAGGAGTCCCTACAGTTCACACTCCTTGGTTACCTAGTTGGGGAAGTGGGGGCTGGTGAGAGGACCTGGGGATCCAGGGGGCTTCTGGAAGGAATCCCAAGGAGGGTCAGGTGGCCAGGGTGAACCATGTTGAGATCGCGGCTTGCCATTTAAGTCAGATGGAGAAGTCCGGGAAGAGCTGGACTGGGGAGGGGAGGGCTCTCAACACTTTGGGTCCCCCCACCCCACCCCTGCCCCCGACTCGCAGACCCAGATGCGGACGGGGAGGCGGGGGCCTCTGCAAGCCTGACCCGTGGAACCGACTGTCCACTTCGCCCTGGCGGTCTCCGAATAGCAGCGTCTGGCTGGGGAGGGCTTACCCAGACCCTCCGGCCTGCCCCTCCCAGCTGGGCCCTGGCCCTAGCCCCAGTCTGGGGTTGGGGGGGTGGGCGCAGGCTCATCGCTCCCTTGGCCTCAGGCTGGCCCGGCCAGCAACAGCTCTGTCTCCTGCTGTCAGGGCTGCCGTCATGTGACAAGCGGCAGATGGGCCTCTGATCAATGGAGCCCGTCCCTGAGCAAGGACGGTGGGGCTGGGGGCAAGACGGGGGAGCGGCCGCTAATGGATGGGCCCGGGAGCAGTGATGGATGGGCAGGAAGAAGCTGCCATTTGTCTTGGGAAGTGAGTGGCTCCAGGGAGGAGGAGAAGGGAGGGTGGCCAGTGGGCTGGAGGGTGGGTGGGGGGTGGTGGCTGGGAGCCCAGTGGGACTGGGGAGGTGGGCGCTCTCTCCTGTCTTAGCCCCCCCGCCCCCACCCCGCCCAGCCCTGGCCAGGGGGACCCGCACACAGCGTGGAAGGCCCAGAAGAGTCCTGTGAAGATGGAAGTCAGATCATGCCCTCACCTTGCTCGTTCAGGGTAAGTCAAGTCCCCGCAAGGCTTTGCTTGAAGACCCTCGCGATTTTCCCCTCCTCCGCCGCCTCCCCTCTGACCTCGCCCCCCACCAGGGCCCCTGCTCATGCTCCCCTCTAGCCAGCTTGCTTGCTCTTTCTCAAAGGCCTCTGGGCCTTTGCCCCGGCTGGACACACCCCGCCCCCTGGACCGCCCTTTCCCAGATACCCGCTCCACAGACTCCCTTCCTGCGGGTCCGATGTCAGAGAGGCCTCTCCTGGGCACTTGTAAAACAGCAACGCCCCTGTGCGCATGTCTGTGCCCCTGCCCAGCACACGCGGTCACCCTTACTCTGCCTTATTATTATTGTTCTTTCAGTACCAGTCACCTTCTGACGACCCATTAATTTGTTTACTTGCTGCGGTCTGTCTCCCTCACTGGACTGTGGCCACCACGAGGGCAGGGAGTTGTCACTTCTGTTCGCCCCTGCAGTGCCAGTGCCTAGAACGGCACTCCGGAGGGGCTCAACGAATATTTCTTCTCGGTCTAAGCGAAAGGGTTCAAACCCCAGCTCCGGTGCCTGCCGGCTTCGTGAGCTTGGACCTTCCAGAAGCCCCGTGAAGATTCCACCGGACAGGTGCATCCGCCGGGGGCTGGCAGTGGCCAATGCCTCTAAAGCGGAGCTGGATGTTACCAGCATCCTCCCGGGACCCTGATCACGGGGTCGTCCCTCTGTCTGTTCAACCCAAGTCTCCGCCCCTCACCTTGGATCCCCCCCCCTGGAAAGCTGGCCTCCCCTGCTCCCCCAGCCATCTCTGAAGGAGATGCTGTGACCTCGTTCCTCAAACCACCGTCTCCCCTGAGGGTCGGCCCTGGTCCTGGTGGCTCCCAGCCCTCCCCCGCCGGACTAGAAACTTCCACGTCCCGATAGCGTGGTCCAGATGGAGCACTTTGAAGGCCGGAAGAGCCAGGTTCGGATCCTTGGTCCACCCTAGCCGATCGATGCGTGCAAGTCACTTTGTGAGTGCAGTAGATGGTCCTGACCCCTCTCCTATTCTCTCCTAATAACATTTACCTTTATAGATCAAAGGCTGCTTTCTGCAAACACCTGATACAGCCTGTGGGCATTTTTATGGTCTTGGGGTGCTAGGGGTACAGGAGAAGCCAAAAGGAGCCTACAAGACTACTATAGGACTAGCCCCCCAGCATCCCCCCCCCCCGGCCGTCTGGGGGGGGCGCGTCTCTGAGGTGTGGCGAGACTCAGTGGTCCACACTGCAATCCGCTCAATAATTCTCTTTCCCGGTTCCCTTTCCTTCTCTCGTTCACCTCCTCCCTCGCCCGGTAGCGTTTCCAGGAATCACCGCCCACGTCAGTCACCTGCACTTGGATCCTGTTTCGTGGTCTGCTTCGGGGGGACCCCAAACCGGGAAGATGTGGCGCCTCGGTCTTTTCACCCTTCACAAGAAGGTAACAGAGTCCCAACCTCCTGAGCTTGTGGTTAATTTCGTGCTGGCTTCATTGGCCCCCGGGGCCCGGATTACACGTTCCTTCTGGGTGTGTCTGTGGGGAGGTCTCTGGATGAGGTGAGCTTTGGAACTGGGGGACCGAGCAAAGCGGAGGGCTGTCCGCAGTGTAGACGGGTGCAGGCCAATCCACTGAAGGGCTGAGCAGAACAAAAGGTAGAGGAAGAAGGAATTTCCCTCTTTTCTTCCTGCCTCACTGTCGGGGCCTGGAGATCCCGCCTCATTTTCTCCTGCCCTTGGACTGGGGTTCACACCATCAGCCCCGCTGGCCCTCAGGCCTTCAGACGCAGATTGAATTAGGCCATTGCCCCCAGCTTGCAGATTATAGATTGTGAGATTTCTCAGTTTCCATAATTGAGCCTGCACATCACACTAAATCTCCATAGGGATACGCATCCTACTGGTTGTGTTTCTCCGCAGAACCCTTATCATCTCCCAACCAATCTCTGCCATTTGGTCCTCCCTGGATGACATTCTCTCTCCTCTCCAGTCCCTAGTCCTCAGATATGGCCAAGTACTTCTTGAAGTTTGGGGTCTAAGTTCTAGGTGAGGCCAAGAGGAGCATAGAGCCAGCCTGTCACCTCCTTGCCTTATACCTCTGTTGATGAGTCCCTCTGTTAATGAATCTCCCAACATCAGATTCCGTTAGCCCCAGTCGTTCTTACTGCATTAATGAGGGAACTTAGAGCACTTGTCTTTTTTTTTTTTTTTCTTGCTGTGCCATATTTAGTCCCAGGGGCCAAGTTTCTCTTGTCCCTGGGCACATTGGTAGACTGGTGGTGAGGCTTAGAGCTCCAGGCTGCCAAGGTTCTTATAGAGTCAGAGTCTATCAGCCCAGACAAGACCACCAGCCAAAGAATCTGTCAAGCTGTAGAACTGTGAGAAATAATAAGTCGTTATTATTTCAGACCACTCAGTTTTGAGATGACTCATCACACGGCATTGGATAATGGGCACGGAAGTTGATATGGGGAGTAGAGCGTTGCTGTAACGAAACCCCCGAATCACTGGGGCCTTGACTTAGGGACTGGGTGGCGGGCAGACTTTGTGGAGTTAGTGAGGGGCTGTTAGATGCTGGGGAAAGGGCAGCGAGTGTTGTCGCGGGTGGGAGACAACAGGCAGATCTGGTGCCCGTGGAGCTTGGGAGATAGGAAACGTACTTGCGCACTTGTGGGTCTGCCCAAGGAGACCTCTGGATCTGTCCGCGAAGATATCGCAGGGTTGGCGGCCTTCTCCCAGCGGTATCTGATAAAACGTGAGAAGAGAGCCGTGAACTCAATAGGGAGCAATTTGGTTCGCAAGCAGGTTTTAGAGAAATACAGAAGGCCGGGGACTTGTTAGGGTTGAAAGCCCCCTGGTCTCCCCAGTGGGTAAAAAATTCTTTAAGCGAGACGAGAGCTGACCTAGAGATAGAGTCAATGATGTTATTGTAAGACCCCTCATTCAGGTGTCTGGGAGATTGAAGGTGGTGCTAATAAACCCTCTTGGCCAGACGAAACGGCTTCTAAGAATCTTCAGGACCCAAAAGGAGAGGGAAGGAGAGAGAGAGGGGAGAGAAACCGGTCTCAGCTGCAGTGAACCCCAGCAGATACACGGGGAACCCGTCAAGGTTTCAAGAGAGCGGATCTGGATCCGTGAAAACACTGCATGCTTGAACTTCAAGGGGCTACAGTTGTTCCGAGAGAAAAGAGCCCACCTTTCTATGAGCATGCTGAGAAAACTATTCAGAGGCAAATACCAGCCATTTCTGGAGGAACGAGAGGGATGATAAGGAGGGAGAGGCTCCAGAGTTCGGAGAGGAAAGCCAAGAGCCATGGAGATTTCTTGGTTCTCCCAACTCTTGGTTTTGGCTCAGGTCGTGATCTCGTGGTTCACGAGTTCAAGCCCCGCATCGGGCTCTGTGCTGACGATGCGGAGCCTGATTGGGATTCTGTCTCTCTCCCTCTCTCTCTGCCCCTCCCCTGCTCATGCTCTCTCTCTCTCTCAAAATAAATTTAGGGGCGCCTGGGTGGCGCAGTCGGTTGAGCGTCCGACTTCAGCCAGGTCACGATCTCGCGGTCCGTGAGTTCGAGCCCCGCGTCGGGCTCTGAGCTGATGGCTCGGAGCCTGGAGCCTGTTTCCGATTCTGTGTCTCCCTCTCTCTCTGCCCCTCCCCCGTTCATGCTCTCTCTCTGTCCCAAAAATAAAATAAAAAAACGTTGAAAAAAAAAATAAAAGCTTTATTAAAAAAATCACACAAAAAAGTTAAAAGCTAAGGAAAAAATTATCCAATAACAACCCAGAATCTGGCCCAGGATAAGACGCTTTTGTACCCGGCCAGTTAGTGGAAAGCACAGTGTCTCTTGGAGGGCACTTCTCGGGGGCTTGGAACATTCCTTCTCTGACCCTGAGGACTGTCATCCACCCTTCCTGCCATCCTGGCCGTCGGTTCCCTCCCCCCAGCACCCCGTGTCCCCTCTGCAGCAGGAAGATCACTATCTCGCACAGAAGGCACAGAAGCTCCCAGGCTGGGCTGAGCTCCTGGCGCCCGCCATCCATCATTGGCACGGCTTCGGCCCCAGCCCTGGCCTCCCCCTTCCCCCGGAGCTTCTTGCCCTCCTGTCACTAAAACATCGTATTGTGTTGTCCTGAGCAGAGTTTATGGGGCACCCGCGTGATGAGGACGGAAACAGAATAATGGGGGCTGGCTTTTCACAAGGCCCCAACAGCTAGTTGTGCAACCTTGGGCCAGCCACTTAAAACCTCCCTGCGGAATGTGCCTTTTGTGAAATGGGGCAACGGGAGTGTCTCGCTCCTGGGGCTGCTGGGACGGGCAAAAGGGGTGATGCGGGTGAAGGGCCCCATGGCATGGCCGGCACAGTCCGTGTGCTTATTAAGGACTTGCCCGAATTCTAGCCCTGGTTGTGAATCCCTCCGCAGCTGTGTGACTTTAGGCAAACCCCTTAACCTCTCTGAGCCATTCCTTTCAAATGGCGATAGTAGCACCTACCCCAGAGGGTTTGTTCCTTGATTTAGCAAATGTTTATCCCAGACCTTCTATAGGTCGTGCACTTTGCTAAGTATTGGGGATACAGTGACGAGCAGGACAAAGTCTATGGTCTTATGTTGTTGATTGTCTGTCGGCAAAGACAGAAATAAAATGCATAACTGGGCTGATAATTGTCATGAGAAGCAAGAAAATCCCTGGCACCTAGAAAGTTCTTAAGGGAGGCAGCCTCCCATGACCCACAGCCCCCGGCCACATCTGAGCCTCATGAAACGGTTACCGGACATCTGAGCCTCATGAAACGGTTACCGGCGTCTGAGTACAAAGCTAACTCCCACCATCTAGGTGCTGGCTCATCACTGCCCCGGGGAATCTTCTGTATTGTCCTGAGTGACCTTTTGGAAGATGTGGCTTCTCCCCTGGGCCAGAGCACTGCTGTTCTGAGCCACCAAGATCCTGAGCCTTCATCCCAGACTTTGATTGCCCTTTGCTGTGGGCTGTCTGGTTTCTTGTGACACAGTCCCTCTATTCTTTAGGAAATTGTCCCCTTCTTTGCTGATGCCGAGCGTGGCGAGGTCCCCAAGGACCCCTCCTCCTTGTCTACGGAGTAATAACCATCCATTGAGCATTGTGGCATGCTAGGGCACTTAATATTCATTATCTCTAATCTCACAGCAACCCTGGGTGATATCATAATTCTCTTTTTACAGAGGAGGAAATGGAAGCTCAGAAAGGTTGAGTAAATTGCCTGTGGTCACACAGCTGGTTGGTGGCTGTGTTGAACTCAAACCCAGTCACTCTGTGCCAGTCTGAGGATGATCAGGAAAAATATGATGGGATCAGAGTTGGAGAGGGTCGGGATGGGGTCAGGACACAGGAGAGAAGTCCAGAGGCTGGGTAGGAAGTCTGGAGGTGGGATCCTGGCATTCATGGCCTCTGTCCCTTTGGGAAGGTATCTTCATGCCCAGGGAAAGACAGGAGGGGATGGAGAGGAGGAAAAATGAGACATTCTTTAAACACGTGGGTTCCAAGACAGCATCTGAACAGTTGCAAAGGTTGTACACTGCACAACTCTAGGTAGCAGCATTCACACTAGTCCATGAGAATGGCATCACGTAGGGATATGTGGTTCACATCCTATGTTATAGGAGGACTTCTAGGCAGTCCTGGTTATGAGGCCATGGAGGCAGAGAGAGTCTTTCTCTCCCAGGAGCAGCGCCCCTGGGCTCCTGCAGAAGAGAGAGATCAGAGAGGGTCAGCTCATAGCAGCCATTGAGCATCTCAGGAAGAATGAGATGGAGGTGTGGGCCCTTTCTCCCCCAGCAAGCTGTCTTGGGTCTCTCCTTCACCACAGTTACCTGCTCATAAGGACCTGGTAGTCTCACCCTCCGCTACCCAGACTCTGAGGTCCCCACATGCCCGACCCTCCCTGCAGGGTTGCTGGCTTTCGGGGCCTCGTCCCCAACCCAGCGGGATCTCTCCAGGCAAGTTCTCCTCCACAGCTACAGAGTCTACCTCCCCTTTGCCCCAGGAGAGCCTCGGGGGCTAACCTGCCTTTTTTTTTTTTTTTTTTTTTAATTTTCCCAGAAACCCTTCCTGCAGCCAACCTGGGAGTTCGGGAGGCCAGGGCGGGTTGAGGGAGGGACTGATGTGTCAGTCCAGCCATTCATCTGCCTCCCATCGACTCAGCTCTAAGAGTTTACCTCTTTAAAATGCAGGGGAGGCTTGAGGCACTGGGCAGTCTCACTGCCCTGTGGCCTCACCCACCCATTCCCCCTGCTGTGTAAATCCCCAGGCCCCCTCCCCTCCCTGTCAGGGACTGATTTCAGCCCACAATGGTGATGCTTTATTACAGCTCACTTCCTGCTGTGAGTAAATAAGTTTGTCTCCTTTATATTCCCTGGGCAATTAGGAGAATGAAAGACTGAGCTTTGGATTAGCATTTATTTCCTCCAAACGTTTATATGAGGCCATTTTCCCACTGACAAATTGTGGGGCAAATTGTTCTCGAGAAAGTCTGTCTGCGGCAAAGGTGCTATGATTAAACGGCTGGTGTAAATTTGGGGCCATAAATCCTTTCCCTGGGTTAACGGGATTTATTTGCAGCAACTGCCATTATGGGCTCAAAGAAATAATAATAAACGAGGTTGATTTTGCACCTGTTTCAAGGTAATTAATATGCACACTAAAGGGAAAAGAGATTATTTTTACAAACTGCCCGGTTTGTGGCTCAAAATCTGGAGTCGTTCTGGGTCCCCCAGCTCGGCGGACAGCCTCTTTCAGGATGGCTGGGCTTTCAGGACCGAGGGGTGGAGCCCCGGGGGGGGGGGGGGGGGGGTCTGGATCTGACCCAGAGCTCTGTGTTGTAGGTAGGAGAGCCCTCGAGTCAGCCTGAGGCGTGGGGGGTTGTTGGAAGGCCCAGGGCCAGAGCAGGACATCTGCGACACTCGAAACTCGAGTGCGGAGTGCTGGACCCAGCTCAGTGGCTGCAAGCGACAGAACCTCATGGTAACATCTCCCAGGACTGGAGGAGGCTGCAGGACGCTGAACCCTAGGGATGGGGATGGAGACTCAGGACCAGTGGGTCTCTCTCTCTCTCTCTCTGCCACTCTGCTCTGTGGACATTCAGGGACCTTGTCCATCAGGCATTGACCTCCCCCCTCCCCCACCACTGTCACGCCTGTCCCCATGCCTAAGTGCCCTGCCTTTTGCTTACAGACCTCGTCCTGCCCTCCAGCCCAGGCCTGCTCAGATCTCTCCCCGGGAACTCTGAGCCTACACTCCAGCCACTGCCTGCATTACTGCTCCCGACAGACTCATCCCGAATCCTGAGATCTGAGCCCCTCCCAGTGGGGGCTTCCTTGGGGGGGAGTCTGGACCCCGGACTTCGGACTGGGAACAGGAGCAGCTCTGATTGCCTCTGGCTGCTCAGGTCCCGGCTGGTCCCCATCTCTCCTCCCACCTCCCAGGTGAGGTCCCAGGGGACTCACTGGATGCCCAGAGGAAAAAGCTTGGAGCGATCTGTCCAAACGCAGATACAATGGTGGCATTTTCCAGACGGGCAGGGAACGTGTAACAGGCGTGGGCCCGGGTCTGCGTCCTAGCTCCCCGCGTCCCAGCTGTGTCTTCCTCGCTAAGCCCTTTCACCTCTCTGACCCGTGGTCTCCTCCTCTGGGAAGTATGACAGCAATGTCCAGCTTGCCTGTCTTCCCCCGCCCCCAACGTATAAATAAGATGGGTTTTGTGCCTGTGCCTGGGAAGGTGGAGAAGCAAAAGATGGGCGAGTGGAACTTGGGGGTGGGGGAAGGGTTCGCTGCCCCTTAAATTCTTCCTGGAGAGGCAGGATACGTGTGTATCTTGAACTCAGCCCTACCTTCTAGAAGCTCCTTGGAAAATCTGGAGAGTGACTTGCACAGCCTGGGGCAGCTGGAGAAGCATTCACAGAAAGAGGACACCGGAGATGGGGTTTCACGGGTGAATAGGAGTTCTTCAAGCAGAACCAAGGGGGAAAGGACATATTTCAGGCAGAGAGAGCTCCCTGCACCGTGGAGGAAAGAGCCAACTGTGTTTGCGGGGAATGAGCAGTTGGGGTGAGTCCCTTCAGGGGTGTGTTGTTTTCAAGGTTGTGGCAGAAACTCAGATGGGGAGAAAACATCCAGAGAAATCTTTTCTTTAAATCGATGAAAGTTGACTCTAATCCCTACCCTCCGGCTCCCTGAACTGGCAGGAGATTCCATTTCAGTCAGAGCCCAGGCCCTGCCCCTTCTGGGGTTCTACCAGAAGAATCTAGAAGAACCTAGCCGTTCTTCAGATCTGCTCTCTGTGTGGCCACCTCACAGACATCCTCCTGGTCTGGGTTCACAGAGGTCCCTGAAGCCCCGTGACTCTCTCCCACCGGGGATTCCCACTGTGTCCAAGGCCACAGGGCCTGGGGTTTTTGCTCAGTGAATGACACGGCTGTCCCCTTGGTTGTCTATGGAGGGTGGCAGCTGTGAGGAGTCCTCCCACTCCCCTCCCGCTCCTCCTCCTAGTCTGGGAGGAAACTCCCTCTTCTCTCCCAGGCTAGGGTCACCTCTCCAATGGCTCTGAGCTTGTAAAAGCCAGGGCGACAATGGGCAAGGCCTATTTTTTCATTCTACAGAATCCCAGGCTCAGGGACCTGTAAAGGGCTCTGGATACAGGCTCAAAATGCACAGAAACAAAAAGAGGAAGGAAGGAAGGAAGGAAGGGGAGGGAGGGAGGGAGGGAGGGAGGAAGGGAAGGAAGGAAGGGAGGAAGTCAAGAAGGAAGGAACGCAAGAGAGAGAGACAAGAGGGATCGTGCATAAAAATTAATTTCTCGAGTACTGGTCCCTCCACCGTATGATGCAGGAGGGAGAGTGGAGGACCGCAGCCGGTCAGGGTCGCCAAAGCCTGAACCTGAAGCGGCTTCACCCGAGGCTCCTTACCAGTGAGGACGTGACGCGGGGAGGGGCACTTGTGGAGAGGGGCGGGGCTCAGCCGTGAGCTGGGAGAAGGTCCGAGAGGGGCCACTGTAGTAGCCAAGGGGGCATCAGGCTCCCGAGACTCTTTGGTCCTGGGGACAAAGGCGAAGCCAGGTGTTCAGGAGGAAGCTCTTGACGCTAAGTCCCCAGTCCCCCGTCCTCCTTTGGGGCGGGACGGCCCTGGGACGACGGCAGAGGCTACGCTTGCTGCTGTGTGTCTGCGACATTGGCAGTTGTAAGGCAGGACCCGGAGGGAGTGGCTCGCATCACAGACACTTACTTTCTCACAGCGGGTCAAAATCAAGGTGTTGGTAGGGTCGTTTCCTTCTCTCTCCTTGGTGTGTGAATCGCCGCCTTCTCACTTTGCTCCCGTGGCCTTCCCTCTCTGTGCCTGTCGTCGGGGTCCAGATTTCCTGTCCTCATGGGGCCACTGTCTATTGGATTAGGACCGACCCTAGCGGCCTCATTTGACCTTGACTACCTCTGCAAAGACCCCACCTCCAAACAAGGTCACCTTGTGAGATATGGAGGGTTAGGGCAATTCGGAGCGGGGGGCGCACCATTAACCCCTGACACTTCCAGACGAGCCCACAGAAGGGCAGACATGGTTATTATTTTACAAACGAGGAACTGGAGGTTGAGAGAGGCCAAGTGGCTTATTCTGGGTTGCAGGGCCAGCAAAGGAGCAGACTGCCCTGAAAGGCTGCCTTTTACGTGGCCCAGGGGCCTGGAGGGCAGGTCCCAGGGGCCCCTGGAGGGCAGAGAGCTGGACTCCTGGGGGGCAGGAAGGAGGCAGGGAGGAGAGAGAAGAAAGTCCACTCTGAGAGCCACTTTGCTGGCCTTTTGTCTCCCTGCTCGTCGCTGGCCATGTGCTTGCCTCTTACTACCCAAGCTAGGTAGATTTTTGCTTGGCTGAGCTGAGATCAAAAAGTAATTTTTCTTTTTGCAACAGCCAATTAGAAATTCATTTATTTTCACATTACGGACATTTGGCAAAAATTTCTTTGGCAATTTAGTTCCATTTATATAGTCTGCATAAAGGGAGACAGTGAGGCTGGGAAAAAAAAAAAAAAAAAAAGGGCAAGGCCCCGGGCAAAAATTAAATGCAGAATCATGTATTAGAAATGAGATGTATTTACTATTGTTTTTGAAAATTAATGGTGCATTTTTAGCTTTTATAATGTAATTTAATGATGCAATTCATCTAATAAAAAAAAAAAAAGAATGCATTTTAACTCAGTCACACAGACCTACTGGGGCACAGCACACAACACCTTTTTCTTGGAAAGGGTTCGGAACGGAATGCTTGGGGCCTTTCTCTTTCTCTGGGAGACAAAAAAAGAAAAATGTGTGTGTGTGTGTGTGTGTGTGTGTGCGCGTGTGCGCTCCCATCTGGGGTATCAGCAGTGTTTGTGTTCTGTTTCCACAGTGTAGGTGTGTAGGTGCGGCCGTTGATTCTGGGATGTTGGAGGGTGTTGACCGCCCCAGCCTGGGAAGTAAGCCCTGGGGCTGAGATCCTGGTGGGCGGGCTGGAGGAGGTGGCCCTGGTCGCTCTATGGGGCTCCGTCCCTCTTGGGTTCTGAGTGGAGGTGGGCAGAGTATGGTCTGGCCGTCCATCCTGAAGGGTTGACCACACTTGTGAGTTTGGGGTCCTGTTGGCTTCCTGACTCCAACACATCTGTCTCGAGTTCTTGTCAAAGAGCCTGATTTCCACTTTTGCCGTTGGTCCTATTTGGACTTGAGGCAATGGAGGTCCATCCGGTGATGCACAGGGTGTCTGGGTGACAATCAGGGCAGGGGAGGGAGGAGGGACAGAATGGGCGGGCACTGACCTTCCTATCCCATAGACCTCCCCCCGCCCCCAGAACCTTTGACTGGCAGGCTGATGGATGGACCCCGGGCTAAAAGCATGATGCGGAGCATCGGATTTAACCCTTGCTCCCATGCAGTGAGGACATAGGTCTCCCTGTTTTATAGGAGAGGACACATTGGCCCAGAGAGGTTAGGGAACTTTCTCAAGTTCACCCAGCTAGGAAGCGGCATAGCAGGGACCAAACTGGGGCCGTCTCCCACCAGAGCACTTGCTCTTAGCCATGTGAATGTATGCAGTGAACGAATGAATGAATGAATGAAAGCATGAAGGCATGATTGGAAGGATGGATGGCTTTTGCCAAGGCTGCCCAACCAAGGAGCTGGGATTTGAGCTCAGATTTTCTGATTCCCGGTTGAGAACTTCTTTCTTCCACCCCCTTTACCCTTAGGAGGGAGGAGGGGTATAGACAGAAAAAGGGGCTTGGGGGCTCCTTGTGATCATGGGGTGGGGATGAAGGTCATTACTGTAGATGAAGGTCATTACATCCAGGTGTCCTCTGGATGCCCGGGTCCCCGGGGAGGTGACCAGGGATGGGGCACAGCGTTGTCCCAAGGGGTCAAGCAAGTGTCCAGGTCATTTTTGCTCATCAGTTCCACGTTTACTGAGCATTTCCCTGTGCCCGGAGCTCACCTGCCCTCTTCGAGCCCCAGTCCCGTAAAATGAAGCCAACCCATCCCCGTCAAAGCGTCGCTAAGCAGGGTGCACGCGCCTTCGGCGTCATGAGCGGGACGGTGGGTCTGGTTCCGTCGGCAGGATGCGTCCCCAGCCTCCCAGGCAGGTGATGTCCTCCGGTCACGGGAAGACCCCAAAGGGGCCCCAACACTCCCCTCAGTTGCAAATGGCAGACTCATGGAGATGCTGGGGGAGCAGACGAGGTAGGCTGGATGCAGCCGGGCCCTCGGTAGGTTTTTACCTTTTCCTGTACGTCTCCCTTCCCCACACCTCTCCCTCCTCCTCCTCCTTCCAGCCCCACAAATGCCGCCCCAGGCACTGGATTCTGCTGCTGTCTGGTCCAGGCGGTCAGCTCTCCCCTCCTGCCCGCCACTGTCCTCCCCCGCCCTTGCCCACCAGGCCTGCCTCTGGACGCAGCCGCCAGCCCTGCTGCTCTGCTGCTCCACCCGCTGCCCCGGCACTGAGGCTTGAACTTGGGTCTTGCCTGGCTGCTGCAGCCTCGGCAGGAGGGAAGGAGAGGTATGTGCCCCCTTTCTGGGAGGGCAGCTCGGTCCGCCCTTACCCCTGGGTGGTGCCAACTCCCCACGTTGGCGCTTGGCACTTTGGGGCGGCCTAGAGAAGTTGCCGGGGACCATGGCAGATAGGCCTCGGCGTTTTTGGAAGTCTAGAGTTGCGCTGTCCGATATGGTAGCCGTTGGCCACACGTGGCTACTGAGCACTTGAAATGGGAATTGAAGTGTGCCGTCGGTACGCAATCGGCGACAGGTTTTGCGGACTCTGTGCCCCTGAGGGCAGCCGTCGAATGCCACACGTCTTCACCTTCCTGGGTTGAACTGGACTGGCTCCTCACCGGACTGATGAGAAACCCATCGCCAGTTATGTAGAATGAATCTGCCTCCTCCTTTCTGGGCCGCGTACATCTTGGCACTCAGACATATCCTCAACCAGACTCCCTAAGTTGGGATTCTCACCACCTGCCCTTGAGGGCCCAGAATCTGCTCACCTTCAAGGGGGCAGAGAGGGCTTTGAGGGGGACACCCAAGCCCCTCCTCCCTGGGCTCCTAGGGTTTTCCTGCTTTCGTTCCCCGAGGCCCACCTGGAGAGCCAGCACTTGAACAAAGGTATTGCACTCCTGATGTGGGGTGAAGGCTTCTTCTGTGGGACCTCAGGGCACCTTAGGGACCATGCGTATTTCATTCTAGACCTTTCACCCACCATGCCCTTCTAGGCCAAAGCT